AAGGCAAACCAAGAGAGACTGTGTGTTTGGAAAAGAAAAATCCTAAGGAAGATCTTTGGTCCTGTGCTGGATGAAGCATCAGGACAATATAGGATAAGAACTAACAAAGAGCTTGAAGAACTCTACCCAGACGCCAACGTCATAAAAGAAATAAAATCCAGAAGATTCCAATGGGCAGGGCACCTCAGAAGACATTCTGACGAATGAACAGTAAGACTGGTGTGGGAGGAAATCCCAACTGGAAGGAGACCACGCGGACGGCCTCGTCTCCGGTGGGGAGATAATATAGCAGGAGACCTAAGCACTATGAGCGTGGAAAATTGGATGGAGGTTATTCAAGACAGAAAACAGTGGAGGCATGTTGTCGAGTCGGCTAAAACCCACGAAGGGTTGTAACGCCACGGAGTAAGTAAGTGTAAGCATGCCGTTGCCTATAATATCAAAGCCAGGTAAGTTAACCGTCAGTTTTGAAAAAACATAACTTACTAACAACTTATTGGTATTAGTTTGGCAAACGTCAAACAATAGGTAGTTAGTTAAACATGCAATTTTTATTGCAACGAATTGTAGCTTAAACCTATATAAAGCTAATATTTATATTAGCACGCCACAAGAAAGCAGCTTTAGAACCTAATAAATATATTTTAGATAAAAATAACTATGAATTTAGATAGAGATTTAGATAATAGACAATTTATTTGTTAGAAAAAAGTTTTACATAATAAAATGATACAATTTAATCACTATCGCTATTACTATATCTTTATTACCTACTTTTCATCGTTTTTTACGTGATTTTCTTCATCAGAATATCGTGTTTGTACTCGACGGTTTTTAGCACCATTCGTTTTATCTTCCACTGAATTATGTCTGCGATGAGTTTTGGTCTGAACGAAACTATAAATAAAATAAATATGTAGGTAATTTAATCAAGTAAAAATACAGACATTCTAGAAAACTAAGTGTTACAGCCTGTAATATATCATAATACAGCCCTAATATATTTCTTACTATTAGTACAAAGTAGGCCTCTGTACTATATTTTTTACAATATATTTACCATAAGAAATTAGAGTTTTTGTAAAATGTCTTTTTAATGTTTTTATTGGGTACCTCATAAATCAGCCAAATTTTTATTACCCCAGACATTCTCATATATAACAATAATATTATCGGTGTAAAACACACAGGGGATTTCCAAAAAGAGACCCCAAATCAAACATATCCTGCAAAATCACAACATCCAAATCTTTGCAATCACAGACACTCTTTGTCTAAACACTCCGACCTTTGCAGAATACAAAACCATCTATCGAAACCGCAGTCAGGTTTTCCGTGGGAATGGTATCCTCATCAAATACGGACTACCACACTCACCTCACAAATTTCCACAAAGCATACCCTCTCCCGACGTGGACTTCCTCGCACAAAATTTTCAGTCCCCAGACAACACAAACTTTGATCGTTTATTCAAACTCAATACTAAATACAGTAAAACCTCTGTTAACCGAAATAATTGGGGGGGAGGCCGTTTCGGATAACAAGAATTTCGGTTAAAAATATCATTGTTTTTTATAGTATTCTTGGTTAAAGTAAAGTTATTAAATAATACTATGAGGTGATTTTGTAATGTTTTCTAATAAGAATATATAGAATAAAGTAATACAATTAAGGAAAATGAACAAGTTTAACAAGTTTTTTAAAGAAATCTTCTATTTTCTTTTATGTTATCGTTTGACAACGATGTTTTGCAGCTATATATCTCCATCGTTCATATGCAGAACGTCGTGAGTTTGCCTCATTTCATCATTCGATGAAACGTAAAGCAATCTGAAAAGGACAAAACTTTATACACTGATATCAAAAATTAAGAACCTAGTCTTCTCCCTAACATATTAAGCCTACTGTATAAAATTCTTCTCCTTAAAGCATTGAAAATCTCGTCGGCGGTCCCATGCTGCCTGTTGTCTGTTGGGTCGTCATCTTCGTCGTCTGATACGCTCAGGTTGTCTGGATGAGGAACCATATCAATGATGTCCTGGTCGATGAATTCACTTTCTAAATCATCCGCTGCTAACCACTCACGTATCTCTTCTTATTTAATTTCGTCACATCCCGGCAAATTTTTTTATTAAAGATTTAATTTCTTCTGTCGTTTCTTTGCCATTTTCTTCTTCAGGATCGTCAATCAAAATCCTATCAAAAAGTTAGTTCCAGCATTTTTCCAAAGTTGAAGATATGATCTTGGCCCAGAACTCAGCACACCGATAAACAACATGTTTCATTGTTAAACATTTGAGGATTTCAGGAACACTTTTGTATTCATTTGTCTCCTGTAATAATAGATGTCTTAAGAATGCTCCTCTATAATGTCTCTCGAATGTCTCTATTAGTCCCTGGTCTAACAGCTGAATTAAGCTCGTGACATTCGGTGGCAAAAATCTGACAATTATCACTATTATATAGATTTTGAGTCAACAAGCAACAATGCTTTGATGAGAAGGTTTTTTTTATTTTAAAAAGGATTTTACGCTTGGGACGAATTTATTTTCGAACCATTCTGAAAATAAAGTGGTCATCCATGAGCTTTTTTGGCTTCTATAAAAAACTGGAAGTGCTTTTTCTCAAATATTTTTTAGAGCTCTTGGTTTTTTGATTTCTCAAGACACATACGCATCCATCGGTGAATGAAATTGATGGAATTTACATTTTGCGATAAAAATTTACTTTTTGTTGACGAAATGATTGAAACAGTCAGCCGTTTCGGTTAAACGCTGATTCGGTTAAAAAGGTTTCGGTTAAGGGAGGTTTTACTGTACATAGTAAGAACTACTCTCAGGCAATTCCAGAGCATGATCCGACCATGAACCCTATTACTGACAGAGAAACAGAGAGTTATTGCCGAATCGGCAAAATAACTCTCCCGGATCTGACAATATCAGTAGAAGGTGCCTAAAACAACTTCCAGAGAGTATCACCCCGCTTCTGACAAAAACTATTAATGCATGCCTCAATAATAGCTACTTTCCTACTCCTTGGAAGGTAGCTAACAGTATCATGATACCCAAACCGGGTAAGCCTCGCACAAATGTGACGCTCAGCGACTATCTCGAAACACACATCATCCCAAAATTTCAGTATGGATTCTAACCTAAAAGATCAACTCAAAATGCATTAATAGATTTTACTTTAAAAGTAACACAGTCATTAAATGGCAACGCCATCGCCATCGCCACTTTTCTCAATGTACAAAAGGCCTTCGATCAAGTCTGGCACGACGGACTTATTCGAAACGAATCGACCTCTATTTCTGTTAGCTTGTATTCGGGGTCTCCCTTCCAAAATTCTTTTTATCCACCGGTCATCAACTGATCTTGCTACATGACCTGCCCAGTTCCACTTTAGTGTTGTTATCCTTTCAATAACGTCTGCTACTCCTGATCTTTTGCGTATAGTAGCATTGGGTATTCTATCACGTAGAGAAATCTTTAACATTATTCTCTCCATGGCCCTTTCCACTACTTGTAGTTTACTCACTGTTGTTCTTGTGAGTGTTAGGGTTTCTGTGCCGTATCTATTGTTTTACAAGCGTATTCTAGCAAAGTTGTAAATAATTTAGGAGACATGTTGTCTCCTTGCCGAACGCCTTTTTCAATATGAAAGGTTCCAGTATCTTCAATAAGTCTTACACAGGCTGTAGCATGCTGATAGATGTATGTGATGGGGGATATGTATCGGTGATCTATTCTACCTTGTGTTAGAGCTTGGAGCGTTTCACTTTAATTGACCGTGTCAAATGCTTTTTCAAAGTTGCTTTGCAACTACCTTACCCATACAATTCATAAAAATCATACATTCTTACCCTTGAATCGAACAGTTAGAGTGAGAATAAGCGATCAATTATCAACCCCATTCACTCCACGAGCAGGAGTACCACAAGGCAAGTGCTAGCACCCTGTTGTACACTACATACAACAGTACCATCTCAAACCAAAACATACCACACACCCAACTGTCCCTCTATGCAGATGACACTGTCCTCCTCACAACAGGGAACGGCTATTATCCTGAGAGAACCTTTAGAAGAGCACAAACTCTTTTAAACGGTATCGAAGAATGGTGTAATAAGTGAAGAGGTGCTTTAAACGCTTCAAAAATACAAACAATTGTGTTCCGCAGCCCTAAAGCCTCGTCCGGAATCATTCGATGATCAAACCCCCCTGTATCTAATGCTTCCTACTTAGGTGTACTATTTACTAGAACGCTTAACTGGATACCTGATCTAAAGGCAACTTTAAATAGGATTAGAAAACGACCCGACTCTTAGTACCACTTACAGGGACATTTGGAAAAACTTATACAAAAACTTTCATCCACACTTATAAAACATTCATTCGACCCGCTATTGAGTATAAGACTAACTTATACTGCCTTCTTAAAGATTATCAAACGAGAAGGCTGATCGCTGCGGAGCGCAGAATTCTGCGTAGTGCGTGCAGGAAACGCTGGTACTTCCCATCCCGTGAAATCCATCAAACGGCAAACACCACACCAATTATCGAGAGAATAAAACTCTCAACAGGAACTTTATCCTCAGAACTATCATCGGCCCTCCTTCTAATATACAAGATACACTAAAAAGTTCCTCCTCTTTCCGCGGTCACGTATCTTCCCGGAAGCCCAAAAACAAAAAACTCCACATCTTGTCTATTCTGATGCAGGCTTGCATCGACGAACTTCTGGAAGAATACGCTGACATCCTTGAGGCCAATCCAATAGCCTACAGAACCCACATGTAACCTCCAATCGTTTTCCTTACCCCGGACATGGGAGATTGGTTTTTTGCTGTTTCCCAATCTCATTACTTAACGATACCTGGCCGTCAGGTACAGTTAGTTATAGTTTTAGAGTTGATCGCAAACGCATAAACGGATTGTCCTCTTTCCTCTACCGAAGCATCCTTATCACCCGGATCCCCGACCGACTGCAGTGACCTTCACCCCTGATTCACTAGCGGCTCCATCTCAACAGCCTTCAAATGTTTCACAGAAGAAGAAGAACGCTAACACCCCAGTGGGTTCTAGAACTGTTTGTTCTTGTAACACAACACATTCAAATCCAAGCCTGAAGAGGATCAACTGATCCTAAACAGGTACACAACATGTTCAATCCTCACGTAATAAAAATCCTTATCCCTATTCTTCGAGAACATTGACTGACCTGACCATGAGAGTCAGTCTACTTCAATCATCAGCAAGAAGCGCCACTAGCTGGCTTGACAATGGCAAGTGCGACCTTATCGAGACGTCGTTAAAATAATGGTTTTTCTCAAAACAAAATTATTCAACGCGGAATCAAACCCGGAAAATCACAGAGAGCACATATAACTCTCGAGGAAATTTTAAGTGTAACATAAATATACAGAGTGGCCCAAAAGTCTGGAAACGGCCAATTATCTCGTAAATTGCTAGTTATAATTGTACAAAATTTAAGGTATACCTATTTTGGGATACGGAGATTCCATATTTGATATTTGCAATGTTACCAGATTTTCCGTTTCTCTTATATTATTAGTAACTTTGGTTTTTTAAATGCATCACCCTGTATATTTAGTCATTATAGGAATCTCCTATTCAATACGAGTTCAACCATATGCAACACTTATGATTTTATGTAGTCTGAAAGGTCTTAAATACATAAAACACAAGTCTGGCAACGGCTAATTGTTTCAATAAATTTTTTATTACTAATTATTTTCAACTATTATAAAACGTAACAAATGATAGATTAGAACATTTTTTAACAATAGTTACGTTATTAAGCGTTCAAAATGTGCTCAATATATGAGTTGACAGTACCCTAATCGATGGTAGAATGCGTCTATCACATTTCTCCAT